ACAGAATGACTATCTGCTAATTATCTATTGCAAGAATTTATTACTTTTGATTGGATAAGATATTGGAATTTATCCACAGGATCTATATTATCATCTTCATGTGCTTTCATAAATAAGGCCCAAATGGCAACCATTCTCTTATATTTCCATTAAATTTCTTTAGTTACTTTTCTTAGTTGCTTTCTTCAATTCATGAAAATTTAAATTTCCATTTTTGTGAGATATTTATGCTATCGAAAAAAGGTTACCTCCGCCACGATTATGAGCACAAACATGCATGTGCTATTCAGATTGATTTATTTTGAAAATAAGGTAGATGGATATGAATCATGTAGTAGGTAATTTTTCTGTTGTTATTATTTTTGTGCATTTATTTAGTTATATATTCATAAGAATACAATTGTTTTTTAAATTAGTTTTGCTTTATATACTTTATTTTATAATAAAGCTTAATAAATAGTTTTTATTCTATTGTAATTATTCAATTATTATATTTTATTATATGATTTCCATTATTATATTTTTATGACAATGAACTCTAATAATTTTATTATTATGATGATTATATGAAAATAAATAATTATTATAATGATAATTATTCTTTTTCCATCTTTGAGCTAAAATTTATGTATATTATCACACATTGAAAAAATTATTAATTAATGATATGAATTGTATGGTGATAAATAATTATTATAGTCATTTAAGTAATAATTATAATTACTATAATATAATAAATAATTATTACATCACTTTGATTTTTGCCCTGATAGCTATATGCAGTATTATACATGCTGAAGGGTAAAAAAAAAAGAAATTTCTCACCTCTAAACTTTTTATTATTCTGTATCTCGGTCACTCTTTGTATCTAAGTTGTCATTCCTTAGCATCAGAAGAAATAATTAAAAGACTCGCTAAAATCTTCCATTAATCTATCTTTTTTCCAATAGTCGTTTTCTACATGGGTGCAGTACTTCTTCCAGTTTGTTATTGTTACACTTTCACGGGCATCTTCCGTAATTTTTAGTAATTTATCCATTGCCTTATCTCCAGCAACGAGAATTGAATCAAATGTATATGTCTTTTCTTTAGGAGCATTTAGTTTCATTAGCTCCAACTCTAGTATCAGTAAATTTCGAGAGAACTGTACATTTTTCTGAAGTAACCATGCATAAGTTCTTCTTTTCGAACTTCTCATTGTTGGACATTTTATTAAACTGAACAATGTGGTAGGAGGCATTGCCTAAAACTAGTACAGCATTTGGAGGAAGATTTGGAATTTGTTTTTAAGAAGTGCCTTCGTTTAAAAAACAGAAAAATTCATTTGTTGGTAATAGTCCCCTCTGGCGAATGTAGCATTTGCTTTCTACACTAGAGAAATATGAGGTAAACTATCCCATATCACCACCAGCACATAAAAAAAAAAAAAAAAAAAAAAAAAAAAAAAAAAAAATTGGGGGGCTGTTTTGCCACTCGTCACAAAACTAGAAACTGTTTTCAGTTGCCAGCATTTTAAGAATGTTATGTAGCTGTCCATCCAAGTTTCTTCCAAGTAAATGAAAGCTCTTTTTTCACACTGACATTGCTTCACTTTATTAAGATACTGTCTTCATCTTACACAGTTTCACTTCTTTTAGTGAAAACTATTCTCTTATTTTGATTTTATCTCCATACAAATAAAATTCTATGCAATACATTTTGTAATGTTTCTCATTTCCATTTATATCTTTCCTTGAAACACAGGGTGAAGTTTTGAAAGCAATGGATTTTTCCCCCTCTTAATATAAAACTTATGAGCATTTCTTTGAATTATGTGACATCTTCTTCAGTGCTTAGTAATTAATATATATATTTTTAATTTCAAACATTTTTCTGGTTTTGTGAGAATTTGAAAGATCATGCTCATAAAAAAATTAGCAACAGATAATTTGTTGTTGTAATAATATATATATATGTATATATACCTATCCTCATAGTCATCTCAGTGAGCTCTTTTTAGTCCAAAGGGGCTTTGTCCCTGAAGGACTGTTGTTTTCATTTTGCGATTTTATGTCAGAACCCTATAAACGGCATATCACTTTTAAAATCATTGCCACCAAATACTGTCACCCTGTGTTATATTTTAAGAAATTAAATAATGAAGAATCTGCATAAATGTATGTGTGTTTCTCATATTGTGATAAAACAATGGTACCTAGAGCCATCCAATTTTGAATGATGTAATCCTACTGCGAATGTGGGCATTTGAAATTTGGAATCTGTTTTATTATTGATTTCATATTTTGTAAAACCTTAACAAATTTTTGATTAACGAACTCAATGATTCAAAAGCGAGGAATGGCAACACTCTACCGGGGGGAAGACATTTTTATCTCCAGCACGCGGAAGTGTGTGTCGGAAATTCTAAAGATATGCTCATTTTAAGAATAATTTTGCGACATTGCTGTTGATCTGAATTTTATGGTTTAAGTGCTAAAAACATGATATTTAATAAATAAATGTAACACACAAAATGTTAAAAAAAGCCTCTTTGGATGTCATTTAAAATGTGAAACCTTTCCGATTTTTATTATCATTATTATTATATGTTGATAAATTGTGATTTTTTTTCATTTAAAAGTGATTAAATTATCTTGTTCTTTTGTTCCTTACAATTCTTGCAGTTCCTAACAATTATGTTGTTCTTATGACTTTGAATTATGCTATGGAATGTTCCGTTAAGGTTTTTATGCCTTAGTTAATTTTTATAGCTGTAGAATTATCAACATTTTAAAAGTGTAAGGGGAGCTGAGCCTAATGTGGGACTTTGTGTACATTTGAAACTGTTATTAGTATAGTAAATAAAGGTAGTTGGTGCACCAACTTCAGTGTCCTGCTGCCCAATGGGATAAAAGAAAACTTTAAATTTCTGTGCTGTGAGAATTTTATCTCTCTGTATGTTGGCCAAATTACTTATTTTTGTGTAGAAACTCCAATTTTAATTGTTTTTAATAGTATTCTTTTTTATTATTATTATTTTATGTGTATGTATTTTACAGTTTTTAATGAAGATGTTTTCAGTTTCTAAATTAGTATGTTTTGAGTTTTTGTATACTTTTGCCTTGCTATGGAATGAGAAGTAAATTGATTGAATGAAAAGTACATTTCTAATGAAATTAAGGAAATAAGTTTAAATAAAGTGCCGCCAAAAATATGTATAATTTATAGGCTGTACAAGAAAGCTATGGTGTTCACATCAGATTTTTTCTGATTGATTTTACGTGTAATTTTTTCTGACTACTCAGTCTGATCTATTTAAATCCATTATAGTACTATTTGATAAACATTTCATAAAGATTTAATTGACATTTAATAGATAAATATCTCTATTTAATTTGATTTTAAATCTTCAAGTGATTTATTTTTATTGCGCTTGATGAAACCCCTTCAATAAATAAAAGATTATCTTGAAAGGAGAACTTTTTATTTATCAAATTATTTTATTTATCAATTGTAACTTTTTATTTATCACTTGATTTTCAATCTAAAATTTAGTCAAAAAACACAAAGTAAAATTTAAATGTAATATAATGGATTAAATATGAAGTTTATATATTTTCTCATGTTTGTATTGTTAGTTGAATTTTAATCCAAAAAATAAAGTCAGATTTGTCCATTTAATACCTTTTTAAAATCATGTACCTGTGTGGGATGAAAATTTTCTGGTTTAAAATACAAAATAGAAGAAAAGAGCTATAAAATCGCAGTTATCTTATAAATGTGGTCAACAAGCAGTATTGCTTTTGAATTATTGATATAAAGTGAGGATTTTTATATTTTTAAAATAATTGGGTACTTACGTATTATCGCAACCAGGTTGGCGCGATTTGTATGTTTGAGTAAAAAAGTATGAATAGAAAGAAAATGTACATTTATTAATTACAGATAATTTTTAATACAGTTTTTTATATTATTTTGTTTTAAAATATAAAATAGCAATTAAACCCTTCCGGTTTCGAATTTGAATAAGTTGCAGAATTATTTTTTCGGCGGAAATCTTTTGGCTATTGCTTTTAGCACTGATTGAAAACCGTCTTCGCCATTAACAGCTTGAGCTTGGCGCCATATAAATTCGATAAGGTATGAGTCAAGATGATGACGGGCTGTTCCTCTCTGTTTTTTGTTGCGCCATTTGGCTGAGCCCCACATGCGCTCTACATGTTGTGTGTGAACGCCCGTGTTGGGATCCACAAAGTTATATTTGTGATTAACAGTTCCATGCAGAAATCCAGCATTTTCGAACTCACTTGTATTGTATCCTTTCCAGCAATCCGAATAAATGATGCTTCCTTCCTTGATATTTTCGCAAATTTTTTCCATGAGGGTAACGGCGCTTCTGTTAGGTACAGTAACCAAAAAAGTCTCTTTCTTTTCTCGGCAAATTCCGCCGAAAACCCATTGCTGTGGTAGTACACGCCCAGTGTTATTTTTTCTTTTTACAAATAAATTCTTTTTACAAAACTACGTATAACACGTAGGGTTGCCGTAAGTAGGGTCGCCAAATTTGGCGATTTATGCGAATTTTGGCCTGGTTGCGTTAATACGTAAGTACCAATAATTGAATAACTGTGAAAAAGTAGTAGTCCTTATAACTGTAAAGAAACTATAAAATGTAAAAAAAAATAATAATAATTTAAACAGTATCTTAGAACCAAAGTACTTGTCTAATAAAATATGTATTTACCTAGCATAATATAAAATGTATTGCTTCATATTTTTAATTATTAATTATTTATATTTGAAGGATATATTTAGTACATAAAATGGAAAGAATTTTTTAGGAAAATCTATATAAAATTTAAAAAAGATATCAAGTATGTAGCTGAACTTAATGGTTATCTTAGCCTGAGTTTGATAACTTTTTCTAGATACAAAACTAATGTAACCTTTGTTAAAGATTCTAATCTAGTTAATGAAAAGGTTTTCCATGTTCTTTTTCTTATATCTTTTTTCATTTATAGATGTGCTATCTGCATGGGAGATTTTGTATTTGGAGATTCAATTCGTTACTTGCCATGTTTGCACATTTATCATGCTCCTTGTATTGATGATTGGCTAATGCGTTCCTTTACATGCCCATCTTGCATGGAGCCTGTAGATGCTGCTCTACTGAGTACTTTTCATACTGCATAGAGGTGTAAGAGCTATTCATAATTCCGTTCTTTTAAAGTTTAAATATAGTTTTGTTTAGTGAAACTTTATGCGATAATTAATACTGTAAAATACTTTTATGTGAAAATTAATACCAGTTGCATAAATTACTGTTGCTTCATCTTTGCCCAGTTCTAAAAAAAGGGATGCATTTGATTAGTTATTCATTTGCTGCTTTATAGTTCATTAATAATTTTTCTTTTATAAAATCTGTACTTTTTCTAAATAAAAAATGATTAACACATGCCATATAATGTAATTTTATAAATGCATGAGGAATTAAAAGAATTGTGTAAGATTCCTTCACCACTGCCCAGTTATTATTGTTTGAGAATTTGAGTGGACAGATATGCTGAATGCTGCTTATTATTTTTTTCTGTGATAATACTTTTTAATTTGATTTAAAAAAAATTGGTAGTTGTCTTCTGTAGCAGCCTTGGCTAATTAGTTTGGTGCATTTCTGCATTGGCAGTTTATAAATAGCTACTGATTAGTACATGTGCGAGAAACAAACAGTTACTGGTCTGTGCACATGCAAGATACCAACAGTTAATGATCTAACTGTATTTTTGTAATTGCAGTCTGTTATCATAATCGTTTTTCACTGTAAAGTACTCATTATCCTTACTATTTTCAATCTGGCATGAACGGAAGCTATATTTTATGCTTGAGGCATTATTAGCAGCAATTGTTGAACTGTGGTCTTCAAAAAGAGTGTGTAAAAAATGAATTTTCAAATGTGTTTATATACTTGTTTTAATAAATAGCTAATAAAATTATTTATATTAAGTAAAATAGCAAATAGAATTTTTTGGTATGTTTAATAATAAATATAATTTTTCAGCATATTTTTGTTGTTATATTACATATATGTTGTTATTTTGTATATAAAGTGCTTACATAATTGTATTAAATGAAATAATGAATCTGTATAAGTTCTGTTGAATTATGATATTATTTTATTGAATTATATTTTAAATAAATTGCTGGAAAAAAGTATACTTAATACTATAATAAATACAAATCTATGTTATATTCCTTCTATATATATGTGTGTGTGTGTATGTTAAATAACTATAAATATTCAATGAATTACCTATTTAATGCTTACCATAATCATTTTCATTTTCATGGATGTTTACAACATTTAGCAAAAAAAAAAAAAAAGTGCACTTAAGCCCAAATTGGGTAATCTTCGGTTATCAGGGCTAGATTCAAAAATGTATGTGCAAGTGTGTATGCATGAATGTGCATATATGTGTGCATTATACACACACATACATATGTTATGTACATTGTATTCATTAATACATACATCAATACATTTCTGAATCCGGTTCCAATAACAGAAGAGTACCCCAAATTGTGCCAAAGCTGCTACAGAACACAAGTATCAAAATTTTTATATAAAACAAATTAATATTTCCATTATTATTGCCTTTGTCGTTTAAGCAGCACCGAGATGAGTGACGCTTAAGATATGTTCATATAACAAAAGATAACTCAAAATCCATAAATTTATATAATTTAAAGAAACATTTCTCAGATTTTATGCTGTAAAAAAAAAACATTCTTCTTAAGAATTGAAAGAATTCATTCTTAATTTCTTTATTGAAAAAATAATTTCACTAAAAAATTTTATAGATAAGAATGTGAAATCACTTATGTAATAAGTAGTGTCTATAAAGGATTCCAGCAAAAGATAAAAATTATTCAGTCAACAGCGAACAAGTAGAACTTTAAATTTGATCCCCAAATCAAGATTTGTACCCTTAAAAATCGTAAGAAATGTGAAGGAAGAACAAACATCTTCATTCTATCTCGTTTAATGCAGAACCGGCAGAATTATGGCAAAAGAAGGACATGTCTGCTCCCCATGTGCAACATAAAATCTGGCTTAAAAAACTTAATTTAGTATCCTAGTAAAGCTTAAGAAAAATGGTGACATCGGCAAAATGGTGGAAATGATAGCAAAATGTAAAAAGCAATGAAATTCTCTTAGTGCATGCTGAATCTCTAACTTCAAAATCAAATTTGGCGGTGCTTAAAAATAAAAGCAGTGGCTGATATTTAATAATTATGAGTATGTGAATGATTTTGTAATGTTAACACATTATCGCTTTAATAATATTACATTTTATAGCATGCTTGTACATATATTTGTAATAGAGTTACTGATTTAATAGAAAGCAATTTGATCAATTTTATTTTTGACAGGTTATTACTAAATTTATTAACTGTATGAGAACTGTTTTCAGATTATGAAAACTTTTCAATTTTACTATAATGCATTATGGGCCCTTAGGTGCAAGACCTACAAGACAAAAACAAAACCTTTTCCTATAATTATACAAAATTAAAGAAAATATTAAAAATAACTTTTTCTTCTATATTTTTTCTTTTTATCACATTTAACATCACTACCTAATACAGAATAATAAATCCATTGTTTGATAAGTAAGGTAAATGTCTTATTTTTCTTTAAACAATTTATTTAATTCCTCAGCAGTCTCCATTTAAGGGTGTACATTTATTTAGCAAATTTTCAATATTTCACAGAAAAATACTTCTTTTCAAAAGTTATAAAATAAATACTAATAATAGGAATAACATCATTATTTTAGGAGAAATTATTTCAAGTCATATTTTGAGGTTATATTTCGAGTTTTATGTGTAGAGAATCAACAGAAAATATTATTCCCCGTATTCTTGCCATTGCAGTGATTTTCAGCCCCCATCTCTAGTCATTTTCAGTATAATATTTTTTATTGAATTTTATTTCATCTTAACTATATTTATTTCTTGTTACCTTTTTTACATTTTATTTATTTTTGTCATATTGAATTGCATGTTTGTTTAATCAATTAATATTTGTATTCCATTTTGTTTTATGTAAGTATACAATTCATTACTAAGTTTATACCCTCAAATATTATGTACATTAATGATTAATTTAATTTTCATCATATTTAAAAGTACTTTATTACATAAAGCTTTCCTTCACTGCTCAGGTTTTTCTCGATATAAAAGTGTAAGAAAATTTTGAAAATGAAATTAACAGTGGAACTTGAAATTTAGACTCTCTGATGAAATTGCTAATATGTTTTACATTAGAACTGAATTATAAATAGTTCAATAACCTGAACCAAGCATTATAAAATAAATTAAATTCAGTTTGGAGTTCCTTTGAAATGATGTCGCAGCACAGTATGAAAACTTTCTGACTACTCCTGGTTTTTACGTAATCAAAGAGGCTTAAGAGTGTGTGCAAGGTAAAAATATATGCTAAAATTATATGCAATAAATGACAATGCATAGCTGCCATCTCTGCCAATTTTTTATTTTTAGCTTTTATTGATTGTTTTTGAGCAGTGAATGAAATTTTTACTGACAGCATGAAACATAAGTTGTACGAATTTCATTCTCCCCCTACACCCCTAATGTATTTCAACGTAAAATTTCTTATTAAATTTTATTTAATATGAATTAACCAGCTGTAGACATTTGTAGAACTTTAAGAAGTGTCTGTGTAAATTCAGTTCTAAATTTTTCATCAATAATTAAATATTAATATATTTTACAACAAAATCCTATTATAAACAGTATATAAACACTATAAGCCAATATGGCATTCTTTTGAAAACAGTACTACTATAAAGCAGGGAGGGGAAACTTTTCATACTTCAAGGTTGGAAAGCAGGCATTCTATTTTCATCATGAATTAGTTTAAAGCCAAGCTGGGCTGCAGCATTTTGAGCACTCTAGGTGATCAGTACATTATCCTATTTACCCAAAGAAGAAAATAATAAATATAATCCTAAAAAAAATTATAAAATTTAATTGAAATTATTATTACATGCTGTTATTTAATATGTTTTCTGTTCTTTTCCAGTCTCTTCAAAATGTTTAGCAAATTCATTGACTTTTGACTTAAAGATTTGTCTACATACTGACTGATTACAGCTTCTTTGAATGGTGAAGCATTTTAAAGTGCTTTTTTAACATTCATATTCTCCATCTTTCTCAGGTTTTTTTCCTCGTATCAAAATCTTTTCCGTAAACATAAATTTTAAAGTTTTGACTTTTTCATAATGATACCAGTTGTAGATTTGCTTATAAACTGTGTTTCTGACAGATGTCGATTGTCTGCATCCATTTTACATTTTTTCGAATAATATTTACCATACCTTCAATGTGGAAGCTTCAGATTTGGAGTGAGCTTGTCATGTGGATGAATTTATGACAGGAGAAACAGAGTGTGTTTGGTTGAAGAATATATAATAGTTTGCACTTTTAAGAAATATGAAAAAGGATATAATTCGACACTTGCTGTCCCCTCCAATTTCCAGAGAGAATACAGTCATTTCCCACAAGATATATATGGTTACAACATTAAGATTCTATAGCCATTATAAAAATATATCTTTTATCTTGCAAAAGACCTAAAAAATCAAAATCCCTATTCAGAGGATAGAATTTGGAAAGCATTTATATTCAAATAAAATGAATCAATAAGGATCAAAACCTTTCATTCCCTAAAAAAGAAAAAGAAAACAACAAGCTCTTAAAAGTCCCTTCTTCATTCTTTGAATAGCGAAAATATCAAAATTTCCATCATAGCATCAACCTTGAATAGAGTTCTGTCACAGCTTAGTCAAAGAATTCGGATAGAATTAGAACCTGTTTATGAATTTTGGTGTAGTGGTCATGTACACTACATAATATCCTAAGATGTGCTTATGGATGGATCTTCATTCTCCTAGTGTTAATTGTCACACCTATCTTGTATAGTCTTTGTTTAGAACATAAAGAAAAAGTTGTGGTAAAGATAAGCACCCTTATGTTACTTTTTTTTCCTTCGAATGGAATATAGATCCTTGATGGATGATTTTATTGGTTTGAATTTTTTTTATTAAAACTTCCAGAAATTCTTAAGGTTTCATCCACAGATATCCATTTTATTTGTTATATTCAATTTTCATGCTCTTGGAAGTTGGTTTTAACAGTATAAAATAACATTAAATTGTAAGGGAAACTAGATGGGATTAAAAGTCTTCTACGTTAAAGCGGGTTTAACTGTATTAATATTTTAAAACAAAATATACCTTTATGTAGTTGTGGTTTGCTATGGCCAACTTAACGAGTGCTTTAGGCTGCTGCCAGTGGAGTCTATGCTTGAAGTAACCCTTTTAAAGTCAGAGAATAGTTTAGAAGACAGGAACTCTTCTACATTTCCGAGAAGGAAAATGCTCGCCCATATTGATAAAAAAATGGAGTGGGTGCAGTAGGGAAACTTGGAAGAACTTTTCTCTTTCTATAGTTTTATCATGGTGAAAAGAGTTTTTCCAATTATAATGGTACCTAGCAAAACTAGAGTTAAGAGATGTTCAAATTTTGGAGGACATCTCTTACCTTTTTCACCATATCCTTGAGGTATTCATTGATTTGTGTAAAATTTTCAACTTATGTATTGACGTCTGTGGTTATTTAAGCAAGAACTGGAATGTCAATATCTAGATGGCAATATATATTCAACAGCTTATACTAAAATCAAAGAATCTCTGGAACAAAATTCATATTTTGTTTTTTAGTTTTTTTCGCCTTTCAAATATTTAAGCTGCTTATGTAAAGTGACATATTGCCACATCTACACCAACAGTTACGCTATTGTCGATTCAACGCCATTTACCAACTCGCAGGGACACAATTCGCAGAAGACTAAGTGATGCTGGGCTTAGCTCTCAGTATACTATATTAAGATGCTTGCCATTGATACTTTACCATAAGCATTGTTATCTTGCATGGTGCCATTCTCGCTCAAGGTGTCTGATTGTAGAAACATTATCTTCAAAGACAAATCACACTTTTCTCTCATTGCTGGTAACTGCCACATATGTGTCTGGAGATAGAGAGGTGAGCAGTCCAATGTACCATTTTTTACTGATCAGCAGACACCCAAAACATAGGGTATGACAGTCTGAGGAACAGTCAGCTAGGACAGCCATTCACCAGATTGCTGTGAGGTACTCTGACTGCTCATAAGTAAGTTAATGACATTTTGCATCCGATTGCCTACACTAGGCAGGTCATCCACGTTTTGTTTTCCAGGAAGACGCTCGACCACATATAGTGTGACTTTCTCAGCAGTGTCTTCGACATGTTAATGTTTGCAACTCGCCTGCTAGGTCTTCACACCTGTTGAAGATGTTTGAGACATTTTGGGAAGTCAAATTCAGCTGTTTACAAATGCGTCCCAACTAGCTGACCAGTTGCTGCATTTGAGGGATGTTGGCAAATGAATAGACTTCATGCCCATCCAAGTATCAGCCTGTATAGCCGCTAGGGGTAGCTTTACCACCTACTGATTTTCATATTTTTTTTTTATATTGCTACTCTTAAATAATTTTTTTTTGGGGGGGGGCAGTTTTTGATCATTTGTTTATCCACTAGAGCACTATACTACTGCCGAGTTTCATAGTCATGGTTCATTCCTTTCTGGGTGCATATATTTTTCTGCAACAGAGTGTACAATATTGCTTAGTAAATTTAAACTTTTTATTAGCGCCACTACATAAGTATGACAAAAATTTATTATAGAGAGGAAAAGCCCATACTTTGAAATTTTATAAAATTCATTTATATATTGCAATCCTAGATGCATATAGTAAAATAATTTTGTTGTTCACCCTTATATTAAAATTTATTTGCAGATTTATTTATTTTTAAATATTCTAATGTGATTTTTCCTTATAATGCCAGATTCTTATGACTTGGTGTTGCCCTGATTTGTTATATAAACAAATTAGGTGAAGATGTTGGTGTGGACAGTGGAGTGGTACTTCTGAATTTCATAATAATCTTTATGGGAAAAAAAGAATTGTATTGAAAAGAGAGAAATATTTTATTCGAAAGTTATATAAGTGATCTGATGAGAAATGAAAGGAACTTATATATATCATCATTATAGGTATTGAACAATTCTTATATGTTTAAAATATTTTATTACAAAATATGGTTAAGATGCTCTCAAAGCTAGTCATGTATCATATACCTATATGAATTGAAACTTAAATGTAGGAGGTAAAATATACCTGTGTCATTCCATGCCAAAAGTAAATAAACTTCTTTATGGCTTGTAGATCTAGACATTTGAAGAGTGTTAAATTATTCTTTTTTCTGTGATAAATTTAATTACATACTGTGTTATTAAGACATACTGTAGAAGTTTAACAAATGTATTTGTTTCTATATATTGTTTTAAAATCAATTTAAGGAAAAAATAGCATCAATATTATTTTGATCAGTAGGTATTTATTTTAGAATTTTGATTTTAAAAGTGTTAATAGGTCACTATTTTTAAAATGTTTAAAATATTGCTGATTATTTTTAAATATATATATATATATATATCATTTTAAAATTCTTCCTGCATAAGATATTTTTTTGCAAATTATTCTTTGAATATGCTTGTTTCATATTTTTGATTATAAATTTTTAGTTTTTAATATAAATACTATTATTTTGTAGATATATTTATTATAAGGTAGAAAATTATAAAAAATAATTTATGTAATTCTTTTGCCTGTTTTTTTTTTAAGCTTAAAACAACATATTTATTATTATGCATTGTATCCACCCTTTTTTAATGTACAGTCATATTCTATTTCATTTATTTACATAATTGCTGTGTTCAACATGATTAAGGTAATTAACATAAAAAAAATTAACTGTGGTCTTTGCGTGTTCTCTAACTTATGTAAAACCACTATTGATATTACCTGCTAGGTAAATTTCTGCTGAAATGAATGCAGATGCATAGTGTATTTATGGAAAAGAAAAACTGTTGTCTACATAACTATACAACATTTAAATTTATTTGAGTATTTTGTTCTAAATGTCATATTACACATGTAATTGAAGTTTATTCTATGAAGGCATTCCAATTAAATTATTCTGTATCTTATACAAGGGGGGAAATAGCTGTTGATAGTTTATTCTCAGTAATATAACTGTAAAGTTTTTATGTAGTTCTCTTTGTTCTGAGCAGCTAGTTTGTAAAAGTGAAATTTGTTATTAACTTGTATTTAATTTACAGTGTTCAGAATTCATTATGCCAATTTGTATTCAGATAATGCTTAAATGTATATACAGCCGTATCATATATTTTGACTCATGTATTAATTTATTTATGTTTTTATGGTTTAGGAATATGTTATTCCTAATGGCAGTTTTTGTATTAAATAACTTCTATTTGATTCTTAACATATTGTTAGCTTTTTTTATGACATCAACTGGGATAAGGTGCAAGGATCTGGTGGTTGCCTTGGCAATATCAGAAGGGTCTGAGGCAGAAATTCTCACCAGGAAGAGGATGTCTTGTAATTTATTGAGATCTTAAATCAGAAAGATGGCCAACTTGCAGTTTTGCATAATATAATATAAAGTCGTGAATTACCTGATAATAATCTTTGGTTTGAAAAGGATGGTGTTGCATCGCAGACTTTAAAGTTTAATTCTTCAAGCAAAGAATATTTTTCAAGCAGTGCTACCTCAGAATTTGGTTTTATAGTCTGGATCTCTCAAATTAACAATCCCAGACATATTTCTGATTATTTGCATCAAATTTAAAGTTTATGCTATCTGGCCATATATTATACCACGAGCTTAAATATTGTATATGAAAATTGCCAAATTGATAGTATGTTGCAGTGCTTAATGCAGAATTTTTATGTATGATTGTAAAATTTTTTTAATTATAATAAAAATCACTTTTTACCATAATTTTCAAAATGTGAGTGTGGCTCAGTAAATTGCTGTATACCTTCTTTCTAGTACAAATAATGTATATTTCTGCCTCATTCTATTATAACATTATCATGAAAACTGCCTATTGACTCTCCACCTTATATTTAACAAACGTCTCTACTTCTGTTCTGTTTGCCTGTTAAAGAAAATTTTGCATTCATCAGTGATAAACTGTTTATAGTGTATGTTTCTAGGTTCTTTTATGAAAAGTCTACCATCTTACTTACATATTGCAGTAAATTTTAATTGAAGTTTATTGGCAGGGTTATGAATGCACATATGTAATACCTTAGTGTATGCATTTATTCAGTATGTATTTTGTTTTTATTGGCATTTTCTGGTATCAGTACCAAACATGTATTAGTTTTTTTTTTTTTTTTTAGTAATATTGTTGCTAAACATTGTATTTCAATTTAGTATTCATATATGCAAATGTTTTACAAAAGGTGGGATGAATCTATTCCATCCAAGTGACTGTCTCTAAGAAACTCCAAAAGAGAGGGTAATTTTAACTATTTGTAAAATGCTGGCTTAATTTTTTGATTATCAAGTAATAAATAAATTTGTCTGAAAATTAAACTAAGCAAACATTATTATGACATGCTATAGTGGCATGTTTATGCATAATTTTCACATAATCAGTTGTTTAAACACTTTCTTTCATATACAGGTGTTGATTAAGAAACTTCAAGGTATCATGCTTGATACCGGTATATTTATACATTCTTGACATTACATTTAGCAGAAGGGTTTTTCCCCCTATAATTAGTTTCTTTTTAATAAGCCACTATTCTTTTAAATGTTTTACTCAGGAGAAAGAGTGTAGAAAGCAAAATTATTTGGTGATCTAAGTGATTCTATTATGCATTGTATTTTGCTATTTATAAGACAGTCTCATAGTTCCTGGTAACTTTTTGGCAAGCTCTCTACAATTTCTCATTTCCTTAATTTTGCCACATATTGCGCAAAAATTTTTTTAGACCAAATTGGTCTTTCAGTATTGTAATTACTTCCTAGCTTGTTAATTATATATACATATATATAATTTATTTCCTAAACAGTATTGATTAATTGATTATATTATCTTATATATATATAAGATGACCCTAAATTTTTGAAAACGTATCTCAGTGAGGGAAAAAAATTTTCATTATAAAATGATGGCCTCATATACATATTAGCTTAGCATGTTAAATCTTTTTTCCCAAGAAACATAATTAAATAGTCTAAAAATTTTATTTCAGCATAAAATAAATGCTTTTTTTAACATAAAGAGGAAAGAGTTTACAGATTATCATAATATATTTTTTAAGTGTAATGTTGTATAAATAAAACAGATATGTCTTTTCAGAATGGCATTTTAGGTGAAAATAACTCTCTTATTTAAGCCAGTATGATTTCTTTCCATATGACCATTTGTTTCTTACCTTATGGAAAGCCCTACTGCATCACAGTGTTTTACTTTTTGTACAGATTTTCACAGATTTTTCTTTTCAAACAAACAAAAATAATAAGAGTTATTTATCCTAGTGTTTTATCCAGCTTATACTGAAATCGTGTGCTCTGAATGCCCCTGCCATCAGATGTTGCTGTGTCCTGAGAAATCATGTGGTAAACCCTGTACTTCTGATTTTCTGACGTTATGAGAAAACATATCTTGAACTAAATCATAATGTCTTTTTCATGGGAAATATTTATGAAGTCAACTTGCATCTCACTTTACTTTTTTGATTTTCGCAGATTTGTCTTTTCCCAGTTTTTGAGAAGAAATTTCTTTAAAGATGCTTATGCTACTATGTTAAACATGTAGAGAAATTTTTGTTTCAATAAGATGCCATTACTTAGATGTATGCTTTATTATTTTTTTCTATATAAAGCAAATAACTTTTTCACCTTTGATTTTATCTGTGTTTTATTTGCATGTTGAAACCCTCTGTGGTTCTTACATTACTTAAAAGAAAGTAATAAGAATTTTCAGTGTTATGTTTTATTCACCTTACAATGAAACCATGTGCTCTGAATGCCTGTGCCATCAGATGTTGCTAATGTCCTGAGACACTATGTAGTAATCTTATTTTCTGACATAATGAGGAGGCATACCTTGAAATAAATCATAATTTTTTATAGTTTCATCATTTATGAAATGAACTCTCATCATTGTGGTTCTTTTATAGGAAAACTATGGGAATGAATCAATTAGCTGCTGAGCATATTGTCAGAATTGAATTGATTGCACTAGCAATTGAAATATCGTTTAAATCAGTTCTTTATGAGTGTTAATGTATTTGTATATATTTGGAGAAAATGAATTGCCCCCCCCCTTTTTTTAAGATAATGAGTAAAATATCCTTCCATTTACAATATCTTTCTTATATTATAATGTCATGCATATAAGTGTTTGTACTAATAGATTATTACCATGTTTTCATTAAGGATTTTAGCAGAATTATCAGCCATATTAAAAAGCAGTCAGTCGAATCATTTAACTATTTACTCTGCATTTAAATCTGATTTACTGCATATAACTGAAATGATTTAGAAATGTCAGATTTCAGGTATTACCTCAGGCTGTAAATATCTACCCTTTGTATTACTGTACATATAAATTAATTAGCTTCTTTATTCACAGTAAGTTTTGTATTATTTATCATTACTGAAATAATGATATTTATGTATTTCATTCACATTCATTTGTAAAAAAAGGGAAACCAAAATAGAAACAATGAATGGTGTGAGATAATTTCTTTTTAATAACAAAAGTAAGTTCAGATGTGAAATTTTGTGAAAAGCTTGGATTTAAAAGGCATTAATGTATCTTAATGAAGTATTAAAAAATGTAAAATATGTGCTTTGAATATCCAAGCAGTAAACATAAGAAATTTCAAAATGTTTTGAAAATTCTATGTTTATTGAGCAGACCTTCAGAATAAATCTAGCCTAGTTGTTCATTGAAAACTGGAGTAAATTGAGGCTATGGATTTTCTTATTTCCTTAAGTTCATATTTATTGAGCTAGAGAGATAAATTTTATGCCTTGTGAAAGATCAACGATTCAGTAGTTAACTAAGCAGGACAAAATTGTGAATACATCTTTTTTTTTTTTTTTCTAGTGTAGTTTTCAGAGAATAAATAAATGTTTTATTTCTGTATTGATAATAAAATTTGTAGCAAATTAGTGAGTTTGTAAGTGAGTCAGCCAAACTAGAAGAAAAATATTGTGATAGAAAAGAAAATCTGAAGTAATGTAATTGATAATACAATGTTTTGCAATAGTTGATCATTTAGCCAAAACCACAAAATTAAAATTAAATTATATAACTCCAGAATATTTTGATGATCTGTGATTTTAAAATATTTTAATGATAAAATAGTTATCTGCGCTTGTCAATTATACTTACATGAAAAATTCAGTATATGGTAATCATTTGTTATGAAATTGTGTGGTTATTTTATGAAAACTTGCATATTTAAATATATTCAATTCTTTTTTTTTTTTTTTTTTTTTTCTCCCAGGCAGGGGCTTCCAAAGTAATTGTAAATTAGTAAGTTTAATGTGTTAAGAATATTTGTGCTTAAATTCAGATTTTTTTAATAAAGAGGA